GCGGGGATGCGGGCCCTGAGGGGCTGGCGGCGGGGCGACCTGCAGGCTGAGGGCGCAGCCTGCTCTGCCGGAGGGTGTGCTCGGACCCCGGCGTGAGGGAGGCTGTGAACAGGCCGCGGAGCTCAGGCTGCCTGTGCTCCGATGGCCACTAGCAGCTTCCCGGCCTCTGCACGCGAGGTTCCAGGAGCAGCCCCCTTCCCCTCCTTGTAACAGCCAAGAGCAGCTCCAGGCACGGCCAACGGTCCCCTGGGGCAGGACCAGGTGCCCCTGGCGGAGAGAGACTATGCGAGGGGGTGGGGCTCGGCGGCAGAGGAGTGAGGAAGGGCAGCCGCCTGGGTGAGGGGCTGGGTTCCTCCCGCTGCTGGAAGGCCTCAGGCAGCCGGCAGAGCTATAAGCTGAGCTGTAAGGCATGCAGCTCACCGTGTGCTGGTGCCCGGCAGTGCCTGTGGTGGCGGGAGCGCGGGTGCTTCCCTGAAACCGCCAGGCGACCCTGGCAGGCGCACTGCCCCCACCTCTGTCCCCTCACTGGCCCCGGGCTTGCGGGCAGACACCTGGGCCTGCGGTCTCCAGGCCGCGCTGCTCCTCCTCAGGGGGCACCTGGCTCCCCAGCTGCTCGGTGGTCGTGGGGGGGCAGTGGAGACAGGAGCCGAGGCCAGAGGGTGCTTCTGTGGGATGCTGAGCCGAGCCTCACAGCAGGACCCATTTCAGAGGCGACCCCCACCCCTGCATGCACCTCGAGTCTCTGGAGGAACCATTCTAAAGTGTGGGTCCTGGCCCCAGGAGTGGGGGGACCTGACAGGCTTCAGTTCAAGAAGGGACACTGAGTCACAAGCAAAGACGGCTTTTCCCTGCAGCAGTCCGGTGTCTGGCCCCTCCCCATCCCGTCTCCGTCTCCCCTCCCCCCTGCGCTGGCACCTTCCCCTCCCCTCCCACTCTGACAGACACCTCCACCAGGAATGGAACGCATTTGGGTTCTGGTTCTGGTACATAGTTCCCTTTAGTTCATGGCAAACAGCACTGATTTTCTGTACACCTCCCCTTGGTCAATAACTAAGTTGACTTTAAAAACCATGAAATCAATGAAAAGCCAGGGGTTCAGTGATGCTGTCTCGGGGCCTTTGAGTTGGCGTCAGGCCCTGGACTGTTTAGGTCCTGTCATCACCTGAAGCTGGCCCAAAGCTGAGTCCTCTCCCGGCAGGTCGGGGGGCTCCTTACCAGCGGGCCGCCAGCCAGGACAGGGCCCTGGATCCGAGGCCACTGGAGTTCTCTGCTCCTCGGGACGCGAGCGTCCGCACAGCTGGCCCTGTACTGCCCCGCTTTCTGGAGTTTCACTGGCTACTTCAAACATTCCTCTGGATGAAAACGGATGTGAGAGAGCAGAATGCAACATGCTCAGCTGTAAATGCAAAGCTTCAAGTTCTGCCCAGACCCCCTGGGAGGCTCACCCGCAGTCCCCAGCCTTGGGGGCCACACAATTTGAGGAACACTGCTCTACGGTAGTTCCCAGTCCGGCCGGCTGGGGCACCCAGTTGTGAGGCAGGAACCGTGGGCGCACCTGGTGTGTAAGCCTAGCACCGTGACTGTCCCCCCCTCCCGCTTCCCCAGTGCCTGCTGGGAGGCCCCCGGGCCGAGGCCTGGTCTCAGGGGCTCTCAGGTCCATCGGGTTGCAGTCTGGCCCTCACTCAGCGAGCCCGCCGCTCACATCTGAACACGAAGGCTCCACAGGGCAAGACCTAAACCTTGGCGAAGAGGGTAACAGGCACATGCCAATGGTGGAGCATAACCTGGACCTACAGCCAGTTGCTCGATACAACCGCAGTTTGTACTCCTTCCTGTCTGGATCGAAATCTGTCCTGCTGTCAAGAACGTCACCCCCACCTTCCCTGGCTCACCTACATCTTTGGTCCACAAGTGTCTACAGGTAATAGTTTCTTTCCTTCCCCTACTGAGCAGCTACCATGCGTCTGACCAGGTGACCACACATCTGAGCAGGAGTCTCCTGGTCACCGGGCCCAGGACCTGGAGGTCCTGCTGGGACAGGAAGACACTTGTGGCAGCGGGAGCAGCAAGGGGCGGAGGCGCCTGGGGGCCGGGAACACAGTGGGAACGTCTGGGCGGTGAGGCAGGGTCAGAGCCCCGCACGTGCCCCCCACAGCAGCAGGAGCACCTCGGGCGGCGGGAGCACAGGAGCCACCTGCGGAAATGACTGGCCGTGCTCTGGCGTAGATGTGGACGGGTAGCTGGGCTCCTGCGGGCGGTCGGTGACCTGCACCAGGACCCCGGGGAATGTCGGACTCCCAGCGGGATGAAGGGGCAGGTGGGAGATGAAAGTGGGCTTCGGTGAAGCGCAGTCTTAGGGAGCAGCGCTGTATTACTGAAGGACCAAGCAAAAAGCAACCACTTGCTAGTTTTTTTAATCAAACACTTTATTTCCACATAACAAGCGCAAAAAACTCCCAAACACTTGAACAATACAATGAACGCAGGTATGAAGTCAATTATATACTACCCAAAGCCCCAAAGGTCAATTAGCGTGACGTCCCAAACATTTCCAGACGTGGTTTTTCAAAGCTACCTTTGGTTTTTGGAAAAACCAGTGTGGAAGTCAATACACATCGAATGCACGGAACACGGCTTACGCCTGGCAAGTGGCCGCAGTGCAGCCTGGCGCTGCGAGCACAGGCCGCCGGAGCCCGCTGGAGCGGGAGGGGGCCGGTCCGGCGGCTCCTGCTCGGTACAGAGGTCTGAGCTTAACACCAGACACTGCCGGGCAGCGAGCCTCTGGCTCCGCGTGTCTGCTGGGCCTGCGCTGGCACGGATGGCGGGAAGGTGAGTCACAGGAGCGCTGGGCAACAGGTCCCACAGGCGCGGGGCAGGCGGGAGCCAGCCTCTGCCTCCCACTGTTCTCACATTACTTCAGGGTGAGACGGTGGACAAGTTCAGGTAAAATGTTCCAATATTTGCTTGTATTTTTAATCGGTTGCTCTATGAGAGCCCTCATACATAGCAACTTGAAAACTTTCATTATAAAAAAGAGCGTACAAATAAATTCACAAAAAAGAGACAATTGATGTTGAGCAGCCAAAAAGTCATGGTTTATTATATCTGAAGAAATTTCATAATTAAACACAACCAAACTGTACATTTTACAATCACATTCTATTTGTAAACAGTTAAAAGCCACTGACTTCTTTTGCATCATAGGACACAAACAGTTAGAATCAAGGCAATGAAATGATGGCAAATTCTCTGTGTTAAAATTTTTACCCTTGTTTAGTCTCTCCTTTGACTAAGCAAGCATTATAATACCATTTGTGGGCAAAAAAGGGGGGAGGAGAGAAAGAAACTGTAAAAATGGTGTAACTCGTTAGTTTGCAACAACATTTAAAATTTCCTTTCTACAATGAACGACGCTGTAAGCCCAAAACCGTGCTTACAGGATGCATAGTTACTGATTTCGGCTTTAAGGTACAACATTAGACATAACACAGTCACGACAGCAGAAACAGAGCCACTTGATGGAATTACAAAAATGATTCCCTACTGATCATTAGCAAACCATCATCACACTAATAAAAAGACAGCATCTGAAGCAGAACGTCAAACTCCAGCTTGAAGCGTTTTTTTGTTTTTTCTTTTTTTTGGCAGAGAAAATTCTTTCACAGAGCAGTACACAGTATCAGTGCTGAAACTGGGGGTTCCTTTTCCTATGAGGAACTACAGGGCTTGTTTTGTTTGACTGGGGACCGGTTTTCCTGAGAACCACGCTCTGATTCAGGACAGGAATAGAAAACAAGAACATGGCCAAATGCTGCTCCTTTCCCAGAGATAGAAAGCATCTTTTAAATCCTCCTCTTTTTTTTTTTGTCTTTTAAATTTTTTTTTTAATGATGGAAGAGTAAACATTTTTTTTTTTCTCAAAAAACAAACAAAAAAATCTGTAAACAAGAAGGTCAACGTGAGAGCCTTCAAAAGAAAATGGAAAGCCCATTCAAAGTGCAGGGCCCCCCGGTGCAGGCGGGCTGCAAGTCACAGCTGTGGCCACAGTTTTTCAAACTGCAGAGCGAAATTCTTTAGTTTTAGAACATGAAGAAACGGGTGCAACACTTTCATTATCGTCCTAAGTCAGCATCATAACGTGATCTCCAACTCCACGACACACAGTAAGGTAGCGGACGTCAAGGCATAGTGGAGAGCGCACACCTTAAGGACATCCTTGAGTAAACATCACACGGAACAGCTGCCCCCCCATATTGCCGATTAGACGGAGAGAACATCATTCAGTGCAAAGGTAAAAGCTCATACGTTATCAGCCCAAACAATGGTTTTGGAAAAAAAAATAAGGGTGGGGGTGTGGGAATAGGGGGGAAAAAAAGAAAAGAACCCAAAGGCTAAACATGATGAATTCGCACAGGTGAGCTCACTACGCGGTCAGCACGTATGGCGCCAGTGGGAGTGTAACGAGAGACACCTTCACATTATAGTATTGGCCTGCATGATTCAAGTATTCAACTGATATGTTTCGGGGAAAACAAAGTGGAAAATGTGCAGAGAAGAGCTGTTCCCACAGGCGCCCTGGCTGCAGGCGGCGAGCTCAACTTAGTGCCCCTTTCCTTTGCATCTTGAGGTTGCGGTCACGGTCACGAGTCTACCTCTACCTGTCACATGGATTCTCCACCCCCACCGAGGTGGTCAACAGAAAGAAAAGCATTGATGGGGGATGGGCTGCTCATTCCTCGGGGGTCACTGCTGCTTGGAGGGCCCCACAGGCTTGTGGAATAGTGGGGGGTCCCCCAGAGGGAAGTGCCATGGAGGTCTCCACAGTTAGTCCCCGCCAGCCCAGCACCATTCCAGTGACTGAGATCAGTCCGGCTGGAGAACGGGTGGGAACAGTCGAGGGAGCCCAGCCGGTTCTGGCTGGACCCGAGGGACTGCCAGCCAGGGGAAGGGGTCAGAGACTGACTTTGTGCAAAGAAACGACTGATCTCCTCTTCACTGGCAAACTCAGCGAGAATAGTAGTGTTCCCCAGCACACACCTGGGGGGGAGACGGACACGTGAGGACCCAGCCACCGGAGGCTCCCAGGGATTCAGGGGGGGGGTGGCACCCGTGTGTCTAGGACACACCAGGCACCCAGCACACCCTCCCGCCTCCCTGCATGAGCGCGTGCCTGCAAAACCATCCCACAGGGCCGCAGTTGCGGGGATGTTCTGGGGCCACCAGACCAGGTGCCGAGGGAGGTGTGCTCTCGCCCCAAGCTCTCCAGGCAGGAGGGCTCCGGGGTGGTGCACAGAGCAGCCAACTTACATGTGCAGAGACTTCTGTGCCTTCACTACCTCCTCCTTCGAGCTGTAGCGGACCAAAGCGTTTCCGTGCGGGAGGTTCAGGTGGAATGTTATCAGGGGGCCATGCTGCATGCACAGGGTGCGCAGAGTCGAGCCGTCGATCTAGGAGACGGTGCGAGTGCCTGTTAGCTGCGCCGTGGCGCGAGGACACCAGAGAAGCTGTCCCGGGACAGGACTCTCGTCCTCCCTCTCGCCTGAGAGGTGTCACGGCTGGTGCTACTTTCCCCGGGACTCACTGCTGTGGTGGGTATGGCGCCCCCTCCCAGCTCCACTGGGCCTAGAGCCATACCTCCGTGGCCTCTGGACCCCGGGACATTTCCCAGGTCCCCAATTCCTTAGCCACTGCCCTGCTGTGGCTTCCAGTCTTCTCTCCCCTGCCCTGAGGCAGGACCATCAAGGCCCTGCTCCCTGTGGGAGGAGGGGGGATCTAACATCAGCCTCCAAGGGGGTGGCCCAGGAACTCGGAACATGGCCGCACTGAACAGGGCAGGCCAGGGCTCTCCAAGTGCACCAAGCTCCTCTGCCGGCCTGGTCAACTGCCCAGCCCTGGTCCTAGCCCACGTCACTGCCCGTCCTGGGCTAAGAGCAGGGAATCGGCACATTTCCCAAGGCAGAAGGGCTGCACCAGCTCGCAGCCCACAGCCCGACTGGGACCTGAAGCCGCCTCCTCTGCCAGCCCTGCCTCCCACCAGGCCCGGCAGCCTCTCCTCCACATAAGAAGCTGGGGACCTCCTCTCGCAGGCGCCCACGTGTCCGCACACTAGTGCCCGTGCCCTTACCTGAGGTGTAAGGTTTTTTAGAACAAGCCAATTTGTTATTCTCCCTGAGCTGCTCTCACCCCAGCTGGACCCTGAACAAGGAAGAAAAAGGACAAGTCAGTTTCCTGAAACTGTGGCTGGAGTGATAACCTAGGACAGGCACATCCCAGTCCCATCATTATCCGTGGGGGTCACGGGGCTCCTGGCTAGTGAGGCACAAAGAAGGCCTCCCTTTGGGATACTTTCATTCATGAAGCTAAATCTATCTCAAAAGACTACCACTTGGGGAAGGCCTCTCCAGTGTCCTCTGATGAACTGGCACGAGTGTCCCCCAGGGTGGAGCTCTGAGGGACACTCGAGCTGGCAACTGAGCAGACAGCCCCATGTTTGTCTGGGTCACCACGGGAGCCACCTGCTTTCTGCGCTCTCCCAGCAGCATACCTTGAAGATGTGATCAAGTCAGCCCAGTTCATAACTGCTCCCAGGCGCCTCACAGACACTCCGCACAGCTCGGGAGGCAGCTCCACCCACTTCTCCCTGCACACGGCTCTTGAAACCTAAGTCCAATAGGGAGCCCTAGTGCGCCCCAGGTCTGAGCCTTATGCTGCTCCCTCTGCTTTGCTTGGCTTCCTGATCACACTCAACTCTACCAAGCCTCCTTAGAGCAGGCCCTAAGGCATCCCCTCACACTATACACCAGCCACTTAGAGTAGCTGGCCCCCAGGTGGCTGTGGCCAGAAAGAAAACGTACACACAACACCCATTACATTAATTTGCATTTAGTAGCTTAAAACAGACTCAAGTATTCTCTTCATGTAATCGAAACTTCTCCCAAAGGAAACGCTCTAAGTTTTATTTCAGCCAATCACCTGTCTCAAGATCAGAAATTATTGAGCTTTTACCATTTTCAGCCTGGAGATGACAAAGTGTGGTACAGGCCAGGGGCAGGGCATAATGAGGTAAGAACCAGCAGACAGCTCGGAGTTCACCCCGGGGCCGTGCAGTGCTGGTCATGTGCAGGAGAGGAGGGCCCTCTGCCCTTTCCTGAGACAGTCTGCTTTACGCCTCTGGCTCTGTCTGACTAGCAGCACCCGTTCCTCTCAAATGTCTCTGGTTAGCCCGGCTGGCATGACTCAGTGGTTGAGCACTGACCTATGAACCAGGAGGTCACAGTTCCTGCCTGGGTTGTGGGCTCCATCCCTAGTGGGAGTTGTGCAGGAGGCAGCCGATCAATGTTTCTATCCCTTTCCCTCCCCCCTGCCCTCTCTCTCAAAAAAAAAAAAAAAATTAAAAAACAAAAAACCCTGCAATACATTTTATGAGCCCTTACATCAAGGCCAGGCTTTCCCAGCCCTACTGTGGCGGCTTCTGCTCTGTGTGCCACATGTGGTGTGCTTTGAAGGCTGGTCAGGAGTGAGAAGTTCGCACACATTTTAAGAGGAGCAAGTGAGGAACTTCTCAAAGAAAGGAGCCCCATTCCACTCACTCACCACTGTCTGCCAAGTGTTCTTAGGTGAACTGGGTGACATGGAGACCAAGAAGAGCGTGCAGTAGGAGTCACACGCTGTTCTAGTTCTAGCCCCCTTGACAGAGGGCACTGCCCCCGTCACACCAGCCTGCGTGCTGGCCAGTGCTCGGCACCTCATCTTACCTGGGGTATACCTGGCGTCAGAATTTCCCCATCCTCCACCTACACGCAGAGGAGAATTATCCCACGTAGACAAGGGAGGCTTCTGACCAGTGAGCCCCGGAGGCGGGCGGGATGGAGCAGTGATGTTTTTAGGTGGCAAAGGGACCTTCCACAGCTCATGGGCCAGAGAGGTGTTTGTGACTGACCCCGGAGACCACGTCAATTTGGAATCGCTATTTCTGGCTACTCAAAGGGAACAAAAAGTGGGAGGGGGGAGATACTGCTTTTAGAAAAGATCAAATTTAAATAGTAACATCCACTCTCCCGCTGAAACCAAATCAAACAAAGTGAGACTCTATTAAAAACCCCTAAATCTAACCAAATTGCCAAAGAAAACAAGCCAAGAAAGTGCTCCTTCACCTCCAAACCCCAGACCCCGCAGGCAGCCGATCAATGATTCTATCATCATTGATGTTTCTATCTCTCCCTCTTCCATCCTCTCTGAATCAATAAAAATATGAGAGAGAGAGAGAGAGAGAGAGAGAGAGAGAGAGAGAGAGAGAGAGCTAGTTTCCAGGCTGTGGCTTCACGGAAGTGGGTGTGCGGTCAACAGAGAGCACTGCTCCACCAGAGTGGAGAGCTTGCCGAGATCGTGACCTCAGCAGAGAGGGGAGAGGGCCCACTCCCACGCCCGCCCTGCCCACCTGAAGTGCTTTGTGCTGTACTGCTGAGGGGAACGTTGTAGTTGGAGGCACGAATGGATGACCAGGCACTAGTTGAAGGCAGCGTGGTGTTCAAGGATGAGGATGACCCTATGTGGGGGAAGAGCCCAATTAGTAATTCCCAGAGTAAGTGACACGGTGCCTTAGAATAAGCAAAAGTGCCTAGTGCAACCGCCACTTCACAGCCGTCTTGAGAAAGGACAGGCATGCTCAGGCTCACAAACAGCATGCTGACAGCTCTCTCACTGCACAGCTGGGCCTGGGCAGGCCTTTCTCCTCCACCGTGCCCCAGATTCAGTCTCTGAAACCTAGCCCATGACCATTTTCTCTAGTTTAGCTCCAGACTGACCATTATCTGATCGCTCTAACAGCTTCTGCTGGGTCTCCCACTCCAAGGCAACTGCTCACCCACCTTGAATAAAGGTCAACTCTTCCACTCAAAACTTTCAGTGGTTTCTCTTGATATCACAACTAACCCTCCCTCCTCCCCCCGACTTTCAGAATCTCCCACAGATCAGAAGCCACCATCTCTGCGAGCACGTCTCCCATGAGCCACCAGGACACGAGGATGCCGTGTGGCTGTGCCTACTCCTTCCCCTGGGAAGGTAGTGGCTCTCCCTACTTCTGCAGAGCTGTCTGCCCAACTGTGCTGGAAGGACGACTCCTCACCACTGTGATATGGCAAGCACCTGCTCACCGATGACACGTCTAATGTAAGATGCAGACTGGCATCTTTATTAAAAATTGTTTAAAGGGGCAGATGGCCCTGACTGGTTTGGCTCAGTGGACAGAGTGTCAGCCTGTGGACTCAAGGGTCCCGGGTTCGATTCCGGTCAAGGGCATGTATTTTGGTTGCAGGCACATCCCCAGTTGGGGGTTTTGCAGGAGGCAGCTGATCGATGTTTCTTTCACACTGATGTTTCTAACTCTCTATCCCTCTCCCTTCCTCTCTGTAAAAAATCAATAAAATATATTAAAAAAATATATATATATTTTAAAAAAATAAAGGGGCAGATGGAAGGATAAATGTTACAAGAACAGAAAATACTCTCATTTCCTTCTCCTTCCTTCCAGTGCACCCACGAAATACAGTAAATATAACCACGTGTACGTAGAAGGATGATTTTATTTGATAACCCATTAAAAAGGGCATCTGGACTATAAGGATACTTAAAATTGGTATTATTTCGACTCTTTGAGAGACAGTCAAATTGCTTTTCCAGATGACAGTCTTTAATATCCAATGTATAAATAAATAACAAAAACACACCTTTTACAAAAAACACCCATTTCTTAATAACCACAACAGTGTAAAGGAGGCAGCAGCCTGCAGCTGCTAATACAATGACTGGAAGGACCAGTTGTTGGTCCTCTGTTAACTTCACATGTGTGTTTACCGTATCAAGTGAGAATGAACCCTCCTCACTTGAAGTGCTGAGGAGTCGCCTACGGGACAAGAGACCCTTCTGCTCCCACTGCCCGGTTTCCTGGGCGTCAGGGGCTGAGATGTGCCGGTGACGTTGCTGCTGAGGCCTCACACCTACTCTGAGCCACCCTTACACCATGCTGTCCAGAAACGGAAGTGTACCCGCCTACATACCACTGTTCCTGTCCCTGAGGTGGTCAACTTCCCGCACAGTGTTAATTGAAAGATTGTTTATGACACTGCCAGGAGTGACGTAAGGGTCAGTTTCTGGGTCAATGTTTGGATAACCTTTCCATGGTTCACCAGGGCGGAATTCTGGAAATGAAAACTTTAAATTAGTTCAGGCTCAATCACCATTTTAAAATCTATTACTAAATAATGTAAAATTTTACTCCTAAAACCTACGTAATTCGCAAGTATTTTGATTCGGGAACAATATGAGATGAACATAGGCTGTTATTTATGAATAACTTGCAGGTTTTTACAACAGGACCCAATGCTCTGGGTTTGTATACCTCAAACAGTAACACCCTACAGTGTTCTATTACCAGGCACAAGGCCACAGCAACCGAGCAGGCGGTGCAGGCCACAGGAGCGATTCTGCCCACTCTGCGGCACAGCTGCGATGCTGCCCAGGAGGTTCCCTGGCACAGGTGGAGATGGGCATGAGTGCCAGGGGCGGGCAGTCCCGCGCTCACTGCTGGAGCGTAAGCACTACTGGCCACAGGGCAGATTCGATGCCGACGTCACTGTCCCTCGGCACTCATTTGTATCCTGAGCACTCAGCCCAACAGCCAGAACTGGGCTAAACCAGTACCCAGTCATGATGGAAGCTGCTGGCGTCTTACCTGGTGGCCAGTTAACACTGCTAGAGCCATTGGGCGATTTGGCACGTGGCCAGCCATCTCCCACTGAGCCTGGAGGGCTGGCTGGCGAAGTACTGCTGTTCATGAAGTCATAAGGAACAAACGGAGACTCTTCCAGCCTGAAACCACTTGAAATAGCACCTAAAAGGAGAAATATGACCATGAGATGGGAGCAAAATACATGACCAAGGTCCGTCCTGTGCTCTGTGGTGTGTGAAGATGCACGGGGGAGAGCTGACACCATCCCGGTTCACGTCATTCCAAGAAGGGAGTGAGTGACAGACCGGGATAAGAGTACACAATTATTGCCAAGTCATGAAGACACTTGTACTGCGGCCTAAACTGAGAACAAGCACAGTGCACCCTTTGTGGGATTC